CTCCTCTTCCACCCTTCCTCTCCCCTCCCCTTCCCCTCCCTCCCCTTATTCCCTTCCTCCCTCCCTCCCGCTCAACGAAAACGACTTTAAAGAAAATGGGTTCTGAGGTTGTATATGAGCCGGCCCCCACACTGCTTGTTTGGAATCCCTCTTGTAAACCTGGCTGGGTCTATAGTTGAGAGAGAGAGAGAGAGAGAATAAACACAATGCCTACAGTTCTTGACTCTGATAAACAAGGGAGGTGGTACTTTAAAAGATTATGACACCACTCCTCTGTATGATGACACACACACACACACACACACACACACACACACACACACACACACACACACACACACATACATACATATAAAGATTAACCCCCCAGCTAAATTCACCTTAAGATAAGCCATTGTAACGCTACCTGAAGGGGGTTAGGTTAGATCTTCACGTAATCCGGTAAATTCTCTCTTTTCCCTTAAGATGCATTCTAAGATTTTCCAAGACTCTGCTACAATGAGACTTGTTATTGTCGTCTTATAATTTACTAGAGATCTGGGTTAAGTTCTGATACACAACCTTATTCATCGTGGTATGGTGGTAGGGCGCGTTACTCTCTCAGGGATGACCAACTTAGCATCGACTACTGTTCGGAATACACTCGTTACGTTTTTTATAGCAGGTGACGGACGGATGGACGTACAGTAGATGTTGTGTTGGTGATTTAACATTGCCAGTAGCATAATCATAAGCCTATCCATGTATCCTAAAAAAAAAAATGATTCGCAAGTATCCAGACCACAGAGGGATACAGTCATCTTATCCCGGTTGTGATGTGACGTCAGGCCCACAGTAACTGAATGACATGAGTTGGCTTGTAAAATTCCACGGTGCACTAGACAAGCGTAGCCCGAATGTAGGTCATGTCAGGGTACAGACTACACCCTCAGGCGTACGTCCTCTAGTCTAGTGCATCAGAATATATTATATAATCGATGTTTAAAATGTTTTGTTGCAGCGTAAATGAAACAGTTTACTGGAATGTTTATACCATTTGCATACGAACACAGACCAGGGTTCGTAATGAAACATGTCCCTTGGTCTTCAAATATTGGACTATGGCCATTTCAAAAAACGATTACTGGTCTCCAACTTCTACTTTTAAATACTCTTTGCATTAAATCTGTATGAACCGGAATTATCTTTGTCTGTTATTCAATGGAAATTTTAGTTGACGTGGTTAGTTCACGTTTGTTTTATAATTTTGGGGTACACTAAAATTACGAGAAAATTTGATTTCCGGGTGTCGGGCGGGGCGGGGCGGGCAGGGCAGGGCAGGGCAGGGCAGGGCAGGACGGGGTGCTGTTGGTCATTTCAGCTCATGTTGTTTCTCTTGTACAGCGAGACATTAGTGTAATCGTGATAATATGTTGTGACTACTGACTCATGGTTGTGTGTCGTATTAGTTTCGCGAGTGACTTGAGTACTGAGTGCCTGAGTACTGTGACACTACACTCACAAGTACTAACAACTTCTTCTCTAGTACACGACACATGATTCGATGTATTTTTTTTTTTATTGTTCGTTTAATCTCTGTCACTTGTTTTGTTTTACTTAAAATAATACTTTTTATTTCATCTTTTTTTTGTATTTTTCCTCTGATGGGTTAGTCTGCATCCTTCCCTGGCGCGCTTCTGTAGATACAAATCGGTGGGGTGTTGAGGAGGTAACATAACAATTCCTTTGTTGTGTTGTGTTGTGTTGCGTGTGTGTGTGTGTGTTAAGACTCTCCTAGCATTCTGAGCCCCGCGACGAGTTGATGTTGAGTGTCTAGTGATTTATCTGTACTGTTCCTTGCCTGGTTGGCCGTGACCACTGTATGTATTATAGTATAGTGAAACTTCATGTAGGAGTTATCTTGTTGATGTAAACATGATTTATGAAGAATTACAACATATTATATTTTGCACACACACGCGCGCACACACACACACACACACACACACACACACACACACACACACACACACACACACACACACACACACACACTTTGACAGAGTTGATGACTGATTAACAAAAGTAATTTGACACGTGGTCCTCACTTGGGACAAATACACCGCAACGTCATCTGTCAATTTCCTTGTACACGGTTTAATTGGTGTAGGTGTGTATGCCAAGCCGTCATTAGATATATTAAGATATCTACTACCGTCAAGCCTCATCATATATCCACGAGGAATGCCCGGTATCCGCCAGACGTAAACAGGAACGCCAAGTGTGTACACCAGCGAGAAATAGACGAGTCAACCTCTCAGAGCTCAAGCAAGTACAGCGGCGGCTCCTTCCCTTAGTTACCTCACCATCCGAGGAACATTACCTAGGTAGATGCTCATGGTTCTCTCCCTCCCCTCCCTCTCCCCTCCCTCTCACCTCCCCTCCCTCTCACCTCCCTCCCCCCCATTCTCTCCAGTGCGCCGACAGCCTCCTCCCTGGCCCATGACCCACACTAACCTCCCCAACCCCTTGACCAATACATAGCTCAGAGGCGACCCCCAGGGCGACCCCCAGAGGCGACTCCCCAGAGGCGACCCCCAGAGGCGACCCCCAGGGCGACCCCTCCCCCAGAGACCCCCCCCCTAGATATATTTTTTACAGTAGAGCGGATGAGTTATGGCTGGGGAGGGGGGGGAGGGGTGCTGTGTGTGTACAGAGGGAGAGCCCGAAGTATGGTAAACATGACCCCGCTGTGTGTGTGTGTGTTTGGTTGTTTGTGTTTGTACAATAGTCACCCATCAGGATCATTTTCTGTGTAATAAATATTTGGTGACAGAAAACGTGGTAAACCTCACTCAGTATTATAACCGACCTCAATAGACTACAGATGTAATCACAAAGACTATCAAGGCGTTACATTATTATCCTTTAAAGAAGATAACAGTGAAATTAAATACCGATCACATATAGGAGATGTTAGCCATGAAGTATGCTCTAGTTCCCCCTCCCATCCTCCTTTCCGCGCAACGTGACGTCATCAGCTGGGTACTTTGTCATTGGATGTTTTATTATATGACGTCATACCTGTGCATTCTCATGTGCTGTTTTTAGGAAGTTTGGAGCTCATGATTGGTTATTTATTGCTGGACGTATTGTCATTGGCTGTTTCATTATATGACGTCATACCTGTTGCACTCTTCATTGGTTGTTTTTAGGAAGTTTGGAGATCATGATTGGTTGTTTGTTGCTGGATACGTCCTTGTCAGCTGGTGTCAGTATGTGTCGTTGTTATTTTACTTTCTTGTGTGCTGACGTCGGGAGCTTCTTCAAATTCCTGGCTGACTGCTATTTGTAATGACCTGACTCTTGTTCTTCTTCGCCCAGAACCTAACCTAACCAAAATACAGTCATCCCTTGGTTATCACGCCTAATTGAGTCCCCCGTCTGAGTCCTCCGTTTTCTCTCAATCTTAAAGTGCACCCGAGACTTCGTTATTCCTTAGTAATGACACAGAATTTGAAATTGCAACTGAGGTTGCAATTGTTGAGGCAACTTAGATATGTCTGATTACAGCAAATGTGTTATTGTCAATTTGTAGGTGAAAGATTTTATCCTCAATAGATGTAGGTGAAGCAAATGGGTAAAAACACCTGGAGGCAACTGCGTGATAACGAAATTCTCGGCTTGAAAAATGCGCGAAACAGCAGGTGTGCAGATTTTGATGGAGGTGTGATAATGAAAATCGCGATAACCACGTGCTCTATAACCAAGGGATGACTGTATATCCATTACGTTATTGAGAAGTCCGTTATTGAGAGGGTTGCCTGTACTATTATCGGTAAGGTGGACGTTTCTTAATGTCCCTCCCATCCCTCCCCCCCTTCCTTCCCCCTCCCCTCCCTCTCCCCACCCCTCCTCCCCCCTCCCCTCCCTCTCCCCACCCCTCCTCCCCTCCCCTCCCTCTCCCCATCCCTTCCTCACCCCTCCTCCTCCCTCCCTCCTCACCCCCTCCTCCCTTCCTCACCCCTCCTCCCCTTCCTCTCCCTCTCCCCACCCCTTCCTCACCCCCTCCTCCCCCCCTCTCTCTCCCTCTCCCCACCCCTTCCTCACCCCTCTCCCCACCCCTTCCTCACCCCTCCTCCCCCCCTCCTCTCCCTCTCCCCACCCCTTCCTCACCCCTCCCCTCACCCAGACCAATTCGGGCCACAGTATATAGCTAATGCACGAGACACAAGCATATAGGAAATATTTAACACTTAGGTTCTTGTCTACGATGAACCTTACACACACAGAGAGAGAGAGAGAGAGAGAGAGAGAGAGAGAGAGAGAGAACGTTGACGTGATATTCCTTCGTGTGGACCACTAACTCACAAACACCTTCTCTAGGTCACAAAATCACCAATAAAACGTAATATATTATCTTCTTGTACTTTTTTGGTATCTATAATTCGAAAGTATATTTACATTCTCAAGATTCACCACCACAATGTTATCTTAAGAGTTCCCCCTTTGCTTCTTCTGGTTACCACTATAGTTAATACACCTTGATGTGAACTCGGTATTATAATCGTGTATTTAAATCTTGTTCTCAAGCGTGGTTGTTATTGGAGTTATTCCTCTTGTACTCTTTCCTCTTGTTTCCAGGCGCCCGTGTTCACTCCCTCTTACCTCTCTTCTCCCGTGTTCACTCCCTCTTACCATTCTACTCCCGTGCGTGCCCGTGTTCACTCCCTCTTACCTCTCTTCTCCCGTGTTCACTCCCTCTTACCATTCTACTCCCGTGTTCACTTCCTCTTAACTCATATTTTGTCAACGTGATAGTAATGTTGTGTGTGTGTGGACAACAAAGAAACAATTTAAGTAAATATATTTATTTTATGACCACATGATGATTCGCCCTGTCTGTTCATGCACTCCTATTCCTCCTCCTACTCCTTATACTCCCACTCCTCTTACCCACTCCCACTCCTCCCTGGACTGATGACCGTACACTCACTCACTCTCTCTCTCTTCTCCCTCAGGAACGTACAAGGGGCAGTGGCTGCGGGGCCTCAGACACGGGTATGGCGTACGTACCTCAGCTCAGTTCAGCCAGGCGTCCGTCAGCCGTCCCCGAGCGAACAACCGCGGCTCCACCACCTCCCTACGCTCCGACGGTGCTGGGGACCCTCTTGCCGACAGAGATAGAAAGGTAACGTCGGCTCTCTCTCTCTCTCTCTCTCTCTCTCTCTCTCATAATCTTTACCCAGTGTCTATAGATAACACTGCAGGTGAGAGAAGGCTTGTAAGTTTATTATATATTCAGATTTAGGTGTACCAACGACTTGAGATTCGATTGTGGCCATAATAATATTAGATAGATTTTGGGGGTGAAAATATTATTGTACGTATATTAAAAATTTCTCTGTTTCCCATCATTATCGCGTAGTTTAATTCATTTCAGTGAATTCATCATCACGGAATTGTTTTGACCCTAGATTTAAGGTATCGTAAGTAGGCTGCTATCATGTTAACCTACCCACAGGTGGACGATGGACGCGGGGGATTTGTATTACGAGCGCGGAGTGACGAGATCCCGCGCAGGAGAGGGAGCCTGGTCGAGCGATCCAGCAACATCAAGAACGTATTTAAGGTCAGTGAGTCAGTCATAACTCGTGTACTGGGAATAATAAGTTAGTTGAGTCAAATAGTGTTAAGGTTTTTCGTTAAATAAATAGAACCTTTAAAACTAAGTTAGAATTACTTATAAATTATTTAAATGTTAATATTTTGTTATTATTCTGATCATAAATCAAACGCTGAGGACTTTAATGTTTGTGAGGAATTATAATCTTCGTTGATACTAATTTATGGGTAATTAAATATGACACCTATTGGTATTACCTTAATGATAATTGAATAATAATAATTGAATGGCAATTAGATATTATTAATTGTGATGGAATTACCCTAATAATTAGTATTATTACCACCAAAATTATTAGTTGTGGAAGATTTCATTATTTTGATCAATATTGACAATGTTGGAATTATTTTGATAATGAATGAAATATTAATAATCTTTCACAGTTTTGAAGAATATATTGAAATTATCTTAATTACTATTTTTGAATGTTAAATTATAAAAGTTGCATAATTATTAAGTGTAATAAATATGTTACATAATTTTAACAGATATTATTAATTTTCTTCATAATAAAATATCAAAATGTCACATTCTTTTAAAAAGTTAACAATTTCTGCACTAACAACTGGTGAATATTTATTGACGATAAACCTAACCTAACCCAACACCGGGTAAATGAATCCCTAATTTTTATCTATTGATGATTTGTGTGTTTACTAATCTAATACTGTATACGTACTTAATGATCTTAATCACTGTATTATTGAGAGAAGTAAGCGGCTAGTTCATTAAAACACTTTATTAAGAGGACAGATATTATGTAGCATCCACTATATTGCGAGCAGCTGCCAGACATACAATATAATGCATCTTAACTGCCGGCAACGAGCAGAATAATGTAATAGTTAACTAAAAAATAAAGTGCTACCATGCAGATATCGCTCTAGAGTTATGTTGATAAAAGTAATATTTTGTGTGTTCATAATACGAGTAGGTGACTATCCCGTGATCAGGAAGTTAAGTCACTGTTTCCGCTGCCTGACACTATAACGGCTATATAATATTGTACGCATTTCCCCCCTAAAGTAATGAATGTTGTGGTATTATAATGGCCAAGTTCAAAAATGATTTAAATTAGAGCAAAAGGTTTGATGAGTGTGTGTATGTGCAGGGGTTGAAGATGAGGCGTCAACGAAGCACGGGAGATATTCAAACTGGCCGAGCGTCTGGATCCATCCGCTCTACCGGATCTTCTGCGTCTTGGATGTCGACGGACTCTGGTCAGTCGGCATATACAGTAGGCGACGTTCCAGACGAGGGCTCCAATGCTTCCTTCATCATCGAGGTAGGGTTGGTACGTTTAGCTTAGTAGTAGCCGCTGTAGACGTCGTTCGCGGAGCTTCTGCTTCTGCTGCGTCAGCTACAACATAACCTAGAGCTTCTGCTGTAGCCTGTAGCTTGTGGGATCTCGCGTGCTCCTACTAGTTGTATCCCCTTGTAGTGCTGTGACTTGACTCTGCTGATCATAGCATGGCGGGCTGCCCCATCAATGCCCGTAGTTCTCTGGAATACTGTCATTGGTTGACAGAGTTCAAGTCGCAGCATCGGGGTAGACGTGTGGAGCCGCGGCCCTGTCCCTCTGCTCTGTACCTTGCCAGCGTCTGCACCATAGTCGAGCACTAGTAGATACCAAGTATGTTGATGGATGCTCTCTACCATAAGTGTCTTAGACTCACTTATAGTATCTAACACAGTACAGATTATGGACTCTGCATAGATTAGTTTTCTGTGCTTATGTTGAATCACAATCTATCGCTTACTGAAAAGATTTAGCTTTTGACGATTAACCTCTCTCTCTCTCTCTCTCTCTCTCTCTCTCTCTCTCTGTATTAGTTTTGCTTGTCTTGTACTTATATAGTATATGGTAATGCCAATTAGTATTATAAAATAGATATATATTTTGTTTTTGTTTTATATTTGTGATCTCAGTTACTCAAGTGTTGGGTGATGCCATGCTTGGAGTAACGTACAGTACAGTTTTGTGTTTATATCTGAGATAGTTAAATATTCCGCATCATATTTACTTACTGGCATCCGAGACTAAATGTGATCCAAGATTTATTTGGTTATTCTACTGTAATAACTCTGATGTCATACTGTATTTGATAAGCATGAGTCTATTGCTCTTTGGGGTTCCACAACGTCATTAAGAATTATCTCAATCGGGTTAGGTAGTTAAATTGTCGTAGTTTCCGGTTACCTGTAGTAGCACCAGTTAGAGGTGAACTGGAAGCAACATTCATAAATATTTATGGATTAAGTTATCAAACCCAAATGGTCTTTTCTCCATTTATTAAGAAAATACACTATTGCACAACACCTGGGATATCACCGTAATTAACGATATGAGCTGTGAGCGTTAATAATGGATGAAGCTTGGGTATATCTATCTTCTTAGAGCACACGTCTCAGTGGCTCAGAGACGGGAGTAGAACTGGCGATATCCGGCTACTTAATTGATGACTCTGTGGTCAAGGTGTGAGGGCACAGTGGAAATACACTGTACACTTGATGACAACTCACGGCTCATAGGAAAGTTACCGTGGGTGATGTAATATTATAAACCTAATGTATGTAACCCACATTTATATAAGTATTACTGTCTGTTAGACAGGGGCTAATACAGAGTATTGGAGCAACAAGAGAAACGACTGAAGCAATTGATCACCTGAAGAAAAGACACCCCCCTTTTTCACCACCTGAAGATTAACCACCCTATTACTAACCTAACCTACCCAACCCCCAAGTAGCATTAAAGTGGTTAATCTCCAGGTGAAATAAGCTAGGGTGTTTATTCTTCAGGTCAACAGAACCAACTCCACTCGTACTGTAGTTTCACATAACCAATCTAGACCCGAAAAATCATTATAAATCAACTATTGCAGCCATCATTAGATAGAATAGAAATTTATACAGACCAATAACTTGATTCTTCTGGCAGTATCAAATATAGTACATGAAGTTGACTTACCACTACCAGCAACTTTGATCCAACACTTATTATGACGCCACAGAAAGTATTGGTGCTACTCACAAAGCCACTAAGATAATTTTAATAGATACAGTTTATATTTATATGGTTAATTTTTATATAAAGGTACAACAGGAGGCTACGAGCATTCCTACAGCCTGTACATATAATGAATCCTGTTTGTTTCTGATATTTTCTCCTAAACTCAAGTGAATCTAAAAAGGCGTTGATGTTCTAAAAGTTTGGGTTGTAAAAGGAACAAAAAAGTAAATAAATAAAAAATCCTGTCCTAAACATTCCTAAGAGTTTTCCGTACAACAAACACATACACAGTTCTCGAAAAATTATCAGAATCTTGAAAAAATTGTGTTAATCCCAAAGAAAAAACAAACACGTTATTCATGAACATTACGAACATTGCTTTACATATACAGTATATCAGAGAGTTTCATACAGTGAAACTTATATTTAATGGTCTATATAGAGAGGAAATTCCATATCATATCTAGAGTCCGTTAGCTGTGGAACTCCATCTAACGAACTATAAAGAGATGAAAATCCGTTATATCAAGGGACCATTCGATGTGAAACCCCCATCTAGTGGATTACGTATACAGTAGAGAAAAAAACCCCGTTATATCCAGGTTACACTGTCATAAAACCACCGTTAAAATAGATTTTCAAAAGAGTCAAACAGCGTAGTGTCTTAACCTCGCCCACCACTTTGTCAGGATGAGCAGTTGGACGCCAGCGTGGTGGAGAACTACATGGGCGAGTGGAAGAACGACAAGAGGACTGGCTTTGGCGTCTCGGAGCGGTCGGATGGCCTGAAGTACGAGGGGGAGTGGTACAATAACAAGAAGTACGGCTACGGGGTCACCACCTTCAAGGTAAGCACGGCACCATGTTCCTTCTGTTACGGGAGTGAGAGGGGTGAGAGGGATGGTAGTAAAGGGATGAGAGGGATGGAAGTAAAGGGATGAGAGGGATGGAAGTAAAGGGGTGAGAGGGATGGCAGGAAGGATGAGAGGGATGGAAGTAAAGGGATGAGAGGGATGGAAGTAAAGGGAATGAGAGGGATGGAAACAAAGGGGCTAGGGTTCACTCTCCTCTCAAGATATCCTGTAAATCACTACCTATATAACACGTATACATCCTGATTAGCTTACAGTGGTCGTCTTTGGTAAGGTTACAAGTATGGTTCCTGTCTTGTCTCTTGTTTACCCACAACAGTTGTTTAAAAAAATAGTATAGTTTCAAGTACAGTGTGTGACTAGCAAAGAAAAGGTTCCTTGGATTACCTTTTTTTTTCTTATCACATGTTATCTATGTTATTAACTGAGGGATTCATACAGTGTAATTCGTATAATGATGATAGAAATAACCTATTGAGTTTCCATCAATGAAGAATAGTTTTTAACATGAATAGATACGGTATGTTGATCTACAAATGCTTTTACATCCTTTAGCAACATGGCCTGATAATCTATTTTAACTCAGACCAGACATACCATCAACGTCTCATTCTCTGATATGTCTGTTTCTCTTCCTTCTTGAACTGTGTAATGACTCTCCTTCACTTGGCAGGACGGCACGAAGGAGGAAGGCAAATACAAGAACAACGTCCTCATAACATCCAACAAAAAGAAACATGTGTTCCTTATTCGCTCTGCCAAATTCCGAGAGCGAATCGAAGCGGCTGTAGCGGCTGCACAGAGGGCGGCAAAAATAGCCATGCAGAAGGAAGACATCGCCATCTCTCGGTAAGGATCTCCAGTGGATAAGAGTTGAGAAAACTTTGAGCAGAGGAACATGATGGAGTATTGAGAAGTAGGAGGGAGATAGACATGATGGGAGGCTAGGGAGAGGTATATAGAAGGTGAGGGAGTAACACATGATGGAGTATTGAGAAGTAGGAGGGAGATAGACATGATGGAAGGCTAGGGAGAGGTATATAGAAGGTGAGGGAGTAACACATGATGGAGTATTGAGAAGTAGGAGGGAGATAGACATGATGGGAGGCTAGGGAGAGGTATATAGAAGGTGAGGGAGTAACACATGATGGAGTATTGAGAAGTAGGAGGGAGATAGACATGATGGAAGGCTAGGGAGAGGTATATAGAAGGTGAGGGAGTAACACATGATGGAGTATTGAGAAGTAGGAGGGAGATAGACATGATGGGAGGCTAGGGAGAGGTATATAGAAGGTAAGGAAGTAATCACATGATGCAACGTAAACCACAATGCCAAGTTCTAAATCTAAGACAACATCCATATTTCAAAAGATTTATTTACTGTTACAGATTCTTGTTACTCATTATGTCTGTACATTTTTTCATACATTAACTTACACAACATTCAGATTTTTTTTTTTTGGGGGGGGGGTTAATCTGAGCAGCACGTTAACACCCACTGACTGATTGAACCCTATTTAATATTCTTGTCAATGATTCACCTTAACTCACCCTATTTGATTATCGATTACACTCTGGGATAATCAACTTGTTCTCGATTTTTTTTTTACACTGGATAGATTATGCTGTAGTTTACCCCCACAGAGTGAAGTGTACAGTATCAATATCAACAACCCTTTATATAGAGGGAGTTAAGAATATGTTCTCTTGGGTCTGGTGAAGTAAATTCTCTCTTTTTTTTTATTTACAGAACTGCAACAGCTCGTGGCAAAGCAGAACAGGCAGACATCTCAGCCGTCCATGCGAGAGATGATTCAGATGTGGCTAGGGTCTTTGCCAAACAGTTTGCTCCAGACTTTCATCAGCCAGGTATGTTTCCATCCACTCCACCACTCATTTGGCGTAGAGGCAACAAGTAGTGTTAATCTTTACATACTCAAAGAATAACTTGCCAGCTGTACATATTAGACACTAGTATAGGCAGTATAGCATTTGACTTCATGGCAATTGATAATCACCAGTTTAGATACTGGTGATAATTGTAGTGTAAGTAGCAAGCAAGTACAAAGACTTGTTGTGATAGATGAGACACTGGAGTGATCAGCCACTTTGCTGTATAAGGCAGAAATTGACTACCAGAAGAGACTCTTGAACAGTAACTGCTATAGGCAGTTGGAACAGGAGGTAATATTTTTGTAACTTAAAAGTGAAAATCAGGTTAATGATTTAAGTCGTGTGATGTAGGACATACAATATTACTGAATGTAGAGAGATTATTTACCTTTACTCTACAACACTGTAGATTCAGTGAGCAGACCAATACAGAACCACACTTTGTTGTTATTGCTTTTAAGAAACTTTATACTGTATGAGGCTGAGGCTGTGTACTTTGTACCTGTACAGTACTTTATATTCAATGCATCATGTGCTGTGTTACAGGTGTGGACATTGTTAAAGCCCAGTTAGCAGCTCATGGGAGAAAAACAGATGTGAGTAAACTGCCACCAGGGCGTCCGCGAGAAGACAGCTCTGGGCCGCGTTCACAGTCCCTCCATGTTCGTGGTGGTATGGATGACTATATGACGCGAGGCGACGGTGCTGCCACACAAGAACCTGATTCCTTATCTCCCCCGCCGGGAGGTGGAGGTGGTCCTGGCTACACCAGTTATGGTGCTGGAGAACTCCAGTCAACTGACCTTGGAGGATCACGCCGTACATCCGTCAACCCTGGAGGAGGCGTGGCTGTCCATGATGGCTCCTTACATCAAATGAATCAGGGTGAGGCTGTAATGGGCAACGCTTTGGATCGTGGCCGCACTCCCAGTCGTGGTACAGGAAAGGGAGGAGGCAGGGGAGGGCAGGAGTACAGCTTCTCAAGTGCTATAATGAATGATCGTTTTGACCACTACAATAGACCTCCATCACGCGCACAGTCACGTGACCGATCAGTGGACCGGTTTACTTCCCGTGGACACACACCAGTACCACCAGAATTGATAAACCCAAGGTCTCGGGCACCCTCAGCCCAGCGCACGACCGCCCAAGACTGGACTCCGGACTCAGGAGTTTATGAGGACGAGGCGGCTGTCCCCATCACTAGTGGTTCCCGACGATCATCTCGCCCACCATCAATAATATCGGGCGAAGCTCCTCCGCTCACTGGCAACGGGTCTGTGGGTGGTGGGTTTACAGTGCCATATACCATCCCATCCACTCAGCAGGAAGCTGAGAGTCTGCTCCGGCAACGTGCCTGTGGTCAGGAGATCCCAATATGCCCCCCAACTCCTGGCCAGGGCACAGTCAAGCGCACAGAATCACTTTATATTAACCCTATTGTGAGGCGTCAGGCGCAAGTCAAGGTAAGTTGCAGTTTCTCCTATGTTTACCACTTCTGCACTGATAGATCGATATAAATTTGTCTGTAAAACCATCATGCAGGATCACATTGGTTTACCATGTTTACAGTGAGTATACAAAAATGGCAAACACTAAGTGTGTTCAACCAATAATGGCTCAAGAAAACCTGAAGCTTAAAAGCTTATATCCCAGTTTTAGTAACATTTATGACATCCGGGATTTGAGTTTTGCCAGTCATAAAAATTTTAGGCAAGGGGTAAAGAGACTTTCCAGTTCCCAGTATGTGATCAGTACCCCCTAAAATTTCTCATCCATTTATAGTAGAGTTGTAGCCCTCCTTTGGACATTCTCAATCACTTGGCAGTCTTTGTTTTACAGTATATATATTATATTGGAGACCTAACAGTACTGTACTGTAGTCCAGGTGAAGAATAGAGTGAAATTAACTCTTATTGTCATCATCACATTCTTCTTTATTACTCCTTTTGTAGATTATGCTTTCCTTTATATTATACGAAGCGTTGTGTACAGTTTTACCTGCAGTAGTGTGAGTGTAAGACAATGGTTGGTGGCTAAATGTACTGTACTGTAGTTTTATTATCATGACTGAATATATTATTGTTATAATTATTCCTACATCTAATTATTTGAGCAGTAGTTTATCTCGTTTTTATTTTATTTATCTTTGAAGATGACTGAGTGCTGGGATGGTTGTTGGAAAATTGCTCTGTTTGTAAAGTTTAGTGTCCTAACCTTCAACTGCTAGCAAATGCCTCAGAATTTGCCATGTTAAGCCTTATACCTCCTATTAGATTATGTGAATTCAGATGTTTTATTTTAATAGAATTTTCAAATGTTTGTCTTGAATTTTAACACAAAAATCTTATGACTAAAGCCTCACACGGCCATACGAATTTGTCAAATGGAATAATGATGATGAATTTAATATGAATAATATTTGTACATAATACATGATAATAGTAATTTCAGTATTAAAAATAAAACTTTATTAACATCCAATGTGGTCTTTATAAATACAGTACAATTTTCATGGTTCCCGAGACACATGAGTCTTCCTTCATCACCATTCCCAACTTTAGTCACATTTCACATTATTTCATCAAAATTTTAAGACCAGTAATGACAATGCCACTTACAGGCGGCGCCAGCCCCTATGTTGAAAAGGAAGAAGTCGCTGCCAGAGGTGCAAGCACTGCCAGCGACGCTCATGTCACGCGAGGAGGCTGCAGTGCTCAGTTCAGCCCAGAGACACGAGTTCCGTCGCCAGGCTGAGGAGGCCGAATTGTACCGGGCCAACCCACTCCTCTACCTCACCAGTCCTGCCGTCCAGGTATACTGTCTCTCACCACCTCATCTTGTAGTCCTGTACCTTCCTGCCATCTAGGCTTCTTATTACTGTACCATTGAAAATTCCCCTCCATTGTATTCACCAGGCTTTGCATCACCACTCACAGTGCAGGAGAACACATGAGAAGAACTCAGGATTGTGAGGTCCCTGATCTATGACTGAGCTGAGGTACTCGGTTCTAATACAAAAAAATTAAGTTGGAAGTGTCTAGTTTGACTCTCGTACAAATGTCCTCGCGGTTGAGGAGAGAGATAAACACATTCAAGCCTACTAATTCCTTACTTTCTTATTATTAATATTTTTAACATGGAAGTGTAAAAAGTGCTATACTCACAGTGAACCTGGCTAATTCTTCCTGGGTCACTAAGGTGAGATAGGTGAAGTCAGGTCAATAGTACCAGGGATGAGATAATGTTTTATGTTAAGTGGACTCCCTCATGATGATGACTGCTCTTGCTCACAACTTGAGTATACAGTATTAAGAAACTCATTCGGTTTATATAATGATCCGTGTCAAATATTGTGAGAAAGGACAACCCATTTTTTTCCTGTGAATTACAATACAACAAGAAGAGGGATTATACTGTATAAATGTTAGGTTATTCTTGGTATGTGACAATTTCTCACTGACCTTATTTATGAAGACTGTAGTGTTTTCCACTCTTCTGTATTGTTACAGTATATTCCACTCACTAATGTACAGCATTTGCCCTTTGCTGTCTCTCTCACATAAAAGATAAGTTAGATAACTGTTCCTTCAACTTAAAATATTAATGTAGTAAAAGTCCAATTAATGATTTACTGATTAAATACCTCAACTACCTGTAGTTATATAATGTACATAATTAGGAATGAAATAGTTGATATTTCTTACCTCCAGATGGCTTGTAATGTCATTTGCTCCCCAGGACTGGTTCTCCCGGCAGCGACTGGTCATGCTCATCCTCTTCCTAAACTTGTCGCTGGCGCTGATGTTCTTCAAATTGTTGTCGTAGCAGCCAGCATGGCCGCGGGTTCTTCAGGCCGCTGCCCTCGCTGCCGCGTGAGAGCCATGCCTGCCGCAGCCCCACCCTCAGGGAGTGCCAAAGCAGCAGCAGCAGCAGCAGTAACAACAGCAGCCCTGGGCGTCCCTGCGTGTTGGCCGCCGCCCGTGCCTTCCTCAGCAGACTACGCCTGCGACTCGCCTGCTCACGTGTGCTGTCAGAATCTCTATTTTGTTATGGTTCGTGCCGCGTCCTGCCGCCCATGTGTGAGCCGTCCCATTTTGTACTGCCGCCGCCGCCGCCGTCGTCATATCTGCTGTCCTAAGGTGGGCGGCCAGGAGCTTACGCCATGCCTAATTGGCCTGACTTGAGCTGACCTCTGCGGCCTGGGGCTAAGGAGGGGGGGAAGGCAGGAGGAGGAGATGGAGGAGAAGGAGAATAAAGAGGAGGATGAGAAGGAAAGCAGAAGTTACCCCCTGGACTCCATGGAGGATCGTGTGCGAACAAAAACTGACTGTGAATGAGCTCTTTGTCCCTTGTGGAGTGTTTTGGCTGTGCCTCATTTCCTTCATCACCTGACCACAAACTCACTGCGACCGGGGCAACTCTGTACATTATTGCATCTTTTGCTACCATTACTGTGGCCTCCACCCACCCAACTCTCCTAAGACTTGGGGTGCTGGTGGTCACCCTGGCCCCGGCGAGCACTTGCCGTAATTGCATAATAGGCACTAGATTTTCTATCCACCTATGGTACTATTTGTGAAGTTCAGTACAGATTTATACTAATGTAATTTCTAGTACTGGTTAATTTTTTTAAAGTGTATTATTAACTGCCTCTTGTGGAGCAGAGGTCATATTGACTTCTGTGAAGAGGAAATGTTGTACAGTGGATGAGCATTTGTACCACATCAGGTCTCCCCCTGTGAATCTCACAGGGACACAAGGCATACAAACGCAAATGCAAGAGCAGGAGAAACCAGTTCAATTGTATTCAGTTTTCTATAAAGCCATTTCATGTGCTTTGATAAATCAATAGAGGGATATGTGAGATGCACGTTTTCTGCTTGATATTTTGCCTTTTTTAATTAGCTCAAAATATTATTTATTGTAATTGACAATACAGTTGTGCAGAGTATTCAAACTTTTATACTATGTTTTGTCTTTTTAACTTATGTTTATATTTTTTATTATTAATGGTCTCATAGGTCACAGTGACACCTGCAGAAGGACCTCGCAAGAGTGCTCACAACCCAGATGAAGCCCACTGCAGGCCTCACCAATACTCTTATACTGTATTAAACACCAAAATCTCTGTGGATCTCCACACGCTAGAAAGCTAAATGCCTAGTCACAACATTGATTTAGTTTTCCATAGGAAACTTTTAGTAATTCCTTTTGTTAATTTGTAGTTTAGTTAAAGTGTTGAGAAGGACGGTTGTGTTGAGTCCCAAGCTCCGCGGCCCAGCGGAGGTTGCATGCCTTGGTCGAGCAGGTTGTGTGCCACTTAGACTTGTTATTTGTCTATGCCATGCACATGTTAGTGCATTGGTTTATCTAAATCTTTTACAGTAAACTTGCATTTCTTTTATACTTTAATAGAACAGTAATTATACTGGCTGTGTTGAGAGTATTACCATCACACGGCCCTGCCCGACCTTGACCAGCTAGGTCTCAGCTCCCAGGGAAATAGGTTTTTTTCCCAGGGATATGTAGGCTTCTGTGTCATTAATCTTCCTCATGCTACTGAGGGGCCACTATTCTCTTGGCAAAGCTCCTTATTTATACCAACGAAATCTATTTTCCATATTATAAACTTTTAATCCATTTGTATCATGCTGGTGAAGGTCATTGTACCCAGTTGTGACAACTATGTCTGACGATCCTTTTATTTCTGACGAAGACCATTCCTCTTGCTAGTGAAAGCCCATCACACAACAATTGAGTGCCTTTAGCATGATGGTGAGGACTTTCCTGGTTCTGATGAAGGTTCTACTTGTGCTTTTAAAACTACTTGATGTATATCTCTCAGACTGTGAAAAAGCCTTCATAATGCTTATAAGGGCCCAGTCTCCTGCTGGGCATGAAGCTATGTGCTGGTGAGGAACCGTCTTCATGTAGGAAAAATATAATATTCATGGAGGGATCTTTGTGCTAGGAAAAATATTTCCTTGAATCTAGATTCCTTCATGTGTCCTGGTGCAGACCTGTCCCCTGTGTTTGTCAAGTCCCGTCCTCGTGATACGACTGCTAGTTTTTCAGTGTGGGGGGAAGCTTGCTCTTTTACCCCAAAGATGAATGTTGTCAGTGCACAGGCCATGTACATATCGTCATGTGCCTGTAGAGTAGCGCATGGTGGCCACTATGGTTCCTGGGGAGACCTGACACTGAGGCGCTGGCGTGGGTAATCTCGAGGTGTCCTGGTCACTAACAGCCTCCAGCCGCCAGCCATAGGTACTGATCTTACTGAAACATTGATAACTTAAATACTGTTACACCGTCCTTGAAACATTATAGATTACCAACAGCATGCATGCATTTTTAGTACTTTTCATAGTTTCATTCATCATTGACCACGGTCAGCTTTTCATATCAAATTTCATGCGGCAGTGCTCGATCACCCAACGTGGACGAGATGTGACCCGTAAAATGACGAATTCTGTGCCACATTATTGGACAATATTCTGTCTCACACCCAGAACACTAGTGGATCATCTCTTATTTGTGTTATAACTGCTGCTCTTGAATTACACTTACCAGTTTTAATATCTGGACTAAATGTTACCTCTGTAACACATGAAAGATGATAAAACTAATTCTAGGCCACATTTTTATTCATAAATTAAAGTGATTATTATAATCCTGTATGATCTGTATTCTTAACAATACTGATCACTGAAGAGCGGTCTGAGTTTATTAATTATTTAACTCCTACCTAGTTTACTCAAACTCAAGTCTTTGTTAATAACCTGTTGGCATTCCCTCTCTTGCTCGCTGGCGCTGTTACTGTTACAAGGAAATATGCTAGTTTACTTCCTTCACCCCCCCCCCCCAAGTTGTACTGGACGTCAGCCTCACAGAAAGTCAGCACCAGCTGTTATTATATTGTTCCTTAGTATTGTTATCAATAAACACACTCCTCTTATGGCTAAACTTTCTGCTTTACTTTCTCCGTGCTGTCTCCCCCACATGTTATACTTTACAACCTCCTCCTCCCGTTATCTTAATTCTCTTGTCTTTCTCTCACTCTTAATTCCTCCATTCGTCTGCTTTGCCATTCATGTGTCCACCCTCATTGTCTCATTTTCATTTTACCTTTCACATGGAAGACATTAGCAGTAATACATACTACCGTACTTACACACAGAAATACCTGCGCATGTAGGTACACACACACACACACAGAAGCCACCACTAACATTGCCAGAATCAGTATACTGTATAAGACGTAGGGATGATGCTTCCCTTAATGAAAAACTTGTATTTATTTCCTTTCAAAGTTGAATCATTGCATGTACTGATCGTCTCACCACAATACTGATACTGTATATCTTGTCACTGTTGTTTTGATTATGTTTTAAAGAGATCTTTGTTATAATGAAGTGTTTCTAAATTAATGTTAATTATATCACACAGTCCCAGTCAATTAACAAAAGAACTGTAATTAATTCAATTTGATTTCATGCTTTCACTAATGTCCACACTGCATTTTTTTTTATAAATTAGTTATTAAATAAAATGTCACATCAACTGAACTACTGTATGAGAGGTGAATATGGTTAGGTTAAAATTCAGGAAAGACTATTATTGTGTGTGTGGAGTTTGTAAGTATTATTATTTATACAAAGGTTAATGATATACAGAGTGGATATTTATAAGAGTACAAGGTGGGAAGCTTTCCTGTGGCCAGCCCCTCCCCTCTCCCTCTACTCCAGTGACTTGAGCTTCCTGAACACTTTTAACAATCAAGTCTAATTTATCACCAGAAGAATCCTCAACACTTCTTCACATGTTATTCTTACAAACTTCACAGATAGGTTAATTAAGTACTTTATCCAGATTCTCCCTTAGTCAATTTGGTCACTGGAGACTCAAGCTTACCCTTTATCTTATAAATTTTTTCCTTAGCTTATCTACTTGTGAATTCTTATCATGTTTTTTTTTATTGCACATCTCAATGTATAGTTCCTATTTTTCTTTTGCTATCTGGTAATTTTCAAGTGATTAATGTGAAAATTTACAGCATATCATGATAGGCAGATGACCTTTCCTTGAGTCATCACTGTACACTTTTCTACCTAAACAAATACAATCATTAAATTACACTCAAGTCACTTTACTAAACTGCTGCATTTGTTAGAATATTTATGATTAACTCTTTGTCTCATTAAAGTACAGTACTGTATCTTTTTCACTCGGAAGCTTCACTCGTCACTTAACCAAAACTCCTGTCACCAATGTTGGACAATTAATGCCTTGTGTGTCAAATTATTAGGTGCCAAAACTCAAAAGGCAACTATGAACCAAATCTTTTGAATTCCTGGACATTGTAGCATTTGTATTACTTGATTAATAACAATTACTTCATATTGCAGCATTATATACACCCTTCTTAATGACACTGCTAGACATGGGGACTGGACAGAAACAAGACAGTATTACTCTAATACAGAATTGTCAAAGATCCAAAACAAATATTACCTTTATCATCAACTTCCCAACATCCTGCATATCCACTTGACACATCTACATATCTATCCCATTGTTCCCTTCCCTTCCACCCAGTTATACTTCTTCACTCTTTCACTTCGTTATTTCCTGAACGTCCCATAACATTGTTTCACTTTTATCATCTCCTCAGTGCTCACATGACACTTCACCATTCCTCACCATCCTTATTCTTCTTAATATCCAAGTAATGTTGTCTCACTCACCTTTATCAACCTCCATCACCTGAAACTTCCTCAGTCCTCACCTCACTGTCTCTTTCTCTAACATACACATGGCACTTCTCTCTCTCTCTCTCTCTCTCTCTCTCTCTCTCTCTCTCTCTCCAATTTAGACCATCTTCTGTGTGTTTAGGGTTGGCTGCTCAATGGAATTTCGGTCATGAATCCATATATTATCCCTAGTGGAGAGCTGAAGGGAACCTCCTCCAGGATCTGAGTATCCTTATGCACTTCTACCAGGAGGCTGTGTGTGTGAACTTGTTGATACAAAGTTGTTCCTTAAAATAAAACCAAAACACTGGTGTATTTTTATTTCCCTCTCATAACCATTAGAATGTTAGCAGGTGGTAAGTCTGTGTATGGTCAAACTTATGTATTTGTGGTATACTGTTTAACAAAGTCTAAGGTTTACATAACTGACAATGCTGGAAAAAAAACTATGAAAACAAATATAAAAATCATTAATTTCACACAATAAATAAAAGGCATCTGCAGTGAGGCCAAGAAAGAGCCAATTATACCTGAATATGTGTCCATGGAGTAATTAAAAAATTCCCGTATTGATTATGTAAATATTGGCTCTTGAGTGAATAAATACTATTGTGAAGCAGCCATCACAGCATTGCACGGAAAAATATATATCAGTAAAGGGAAAGTGAGCTAGTAGATTCTGATTTAAGTAACGTAAACCTGAGCCAGCTATTATGATGCATTTTTTCTACCCAGTTCTAGCTCAGGAAATAATTGTAATCATACGGTATGGAGGGAGATATGACATTGAATAAGTACACCGCCCATCACATTTCCAGTATCATCCCTTCCTGAACAATGTAAAGAATAAATGTCCAACAGGAAAACAAAAGTTGAGGTATTGTGCTGACTGAATACTCTGTTCTCCTATTGGTTGTTATTTGGTGGACTTACAATTTAGTCCACCAATCAGTAGATTATCGACTTTTGGGGAAATATTACTTAATTTTCCAAAGTAGATATTCAAAGAAAACAGGAAATTTGTATCACAGAAAATGGGAAATATCTACTTTCCGGGAAAGTTGGTTATCTACTTTCCCGAAAAGTAGATTATCTACTTTTCGGGAAAGTAGATTATCGACTATTCAGGGAAGTATATTATCGACTTTTGGGGAAATATTACCTAATTTTTCAAAGTAGATTATCATAGAAAGCAGGAAATTTGTATCACAGAAGATGGGAAATATCTACTTTCTGAGAAAGTTAGTTATCTACTTATCATAGAAAACGGGAAATTTGTATCATAGAAAATGGGAAATATCTACTTTCCGGAAAAGTTGGTTATCTACTTTCCCGAAA